GGGCACGAACCCGTGTCCCCTGCATCGGCAGGCGGACTCTCAACCACTGTGCCACCAGGGAAGCCCTCATTGTAGTTTTGATTTGCATTTCTCTACTAATTAGCGATGTTGAACATCTTTTCATGTACCTACTGGCCATCTGTATGTCTTCTTTGGAGAACTGTCTATTTAGGTCTTCTACACATTTTTTGATAGGGCTGTTGTTTTTTTTGATATTGAGCTGCATGAGCTATTGGTATAATCCCATCCTTTATAATACATTCTATCAGCTTGGAAATATTTCACTAATTCTCATTGGTAGTAATTCAAAAAAGAAAATGTCATCTCTCACGTAACAAGAATTCTAAAACATGTCTAATATACCATGAGCTCCTAAAATGTAAGGAACGGTTTTAGTTTTCCCAAATGTTAGCACATAGGTAAACCAAGCATAAATGTCTATTGAACAAACATTTCAATGGGTGAACGGGCACATGTACTAAGGAAAAATGAAATACTTACCACTTGAAGCCTCTGTGAGTTCTGAAAGTAGAGGATACTCTCCAACTAAACATCCAGACTGTAGATTTAAACCAGATTCAGAAGATTTCTTGGAGAAAAATAAGAGTAAAGAAGTATTAAATTTTATTACTTATAGGATTACTGATATTTTTATAAAGATTTGAGTAAGCATTATAGATTATCTAGAAATCTGATATTAAATCAATCAATCCATCGCCTTCATTATCTAGTTAATTCTTAAGGAGGTATATAGGAATCCTATATTAGGAACCTCCAAACATCCTATCCAACAATTTTCAGTTCTCTAGAAAACGTTTATAGGACACATTTTTGCTGTCTTATTGTTTGAAGTCTAGAAAACTATGTTAACTGCTTTCTTTTTTTCCCTCTCTCTCTCTCTCTCTCTCTTTTTTTTTAAGGCTAGTCAAGTGAAGCAATGGGATTGAAGAAGGAACAAAGAAATCTGTAACTGGCTGTGATCAATTAATTGTAAACATCACTGCATTCGGACCAGCCAACGCTTTCTTTAAAGAGGAAATTCTCAAAATAAAGGAAAACATAATGACTAATCAAACAACAGAAGGTATCAATAGCTAGAAAAGGAAAACCATCAATGGCCAGGATAGAAAAAGGCACTCCTATGAGTGTAAAAACCACTTGTAAATCATGGTGTATGGCCAACAATTAATGGAAGTTCTGATAAGAAAAATTATTGTCAGATGATGATTCCATATCTACTAGAATAGAGCAGAGGGAGTGGAGATTATAAGCGACTCTGAGATATACATGAAACCCACGGGGGCCCTGATGGTCAACCCTAATGACCATCAAGCATTTATTAAGCCAGTCCAGATAAGGTCAACAGGACATGTACTGGATCTACATGACAGAGAAGGTGCAGGAAAAAAGCTTCCACTCTACCGGCATTAGGTGTCTTCTCTCACTAAAAAAACAGAAACCTGCTGTATCAAACCAGAACTAAGGGTCGTGCAAGAACTAGATCCCTGTTTACATTTGTGTGAAGGTCAAGGGTCCTCAACAGTATGATTATTATTATTATTATATACATTTTTTTGGCTGCTCCGTGCAGCACGTGGGATCTTAGTTCCCCAACTAGGGATCGAACAAGAGCGCCCTGCAGTGGAAGTGAGGAGTCTTAACCACTGGACCGCCAGGGAGGTCACTTAACAGTATTATTTAGTTCACGTTGGTTATCATCTTTTGATGATGTTGACAGCCTCTAGGTAGTTATAAGGAACAAAAAAATCCCTACAGCTACTTGAACGCAGTGGGGAGAGCAAGGGAGAAATTGCTAAATGGCACCATGCTTTCCAGCCGGTATTAAACCAGCGAGAGGCAGCAAGGCAGAAATGCCAGACCTCCAGACCTGAGGGGTAGAGCCCAAGTATCATCTTCGCCTCATTTACCAGTTCTGTGTAAATTAGGTGCTCATATGTCTGTCTCCCCCAGCAGACAAAAAGCTGTTCAAGGGCAGGACTGTGACTTTCTCACCATTGGACCACTGGTATCTACAACAATACCTCAAATAATAGAAGACCAGAGGGCTTCATCTTTTCATAAAGTCTTTTTCATATCAAAAGCAGCATGTTAATCAAAACTGTCTCTAATAACCAATAAGCCAACCAACCACAAAAAAAATTTAGCAAGGAGGAAATTTCTCTCTCTCTCTCTCTCTCTCTCTCTCTCACACACACACACACACACACACACACACAATTTAAAACCCAGCTAAAATACCACAATACAATATACATAAGTTCTATAATTGCAAAAGGGCCTTGACAGTCAGTCCTAAAAGTGACTAGCCAGAAATCCAAAGCTTCATTTTCCTATGTTTCCAGTAAGTGAATTACCTCAGAGAGATTTGCAGAAGTTTCAACAGCACACTGTCTATCTGTATTGGGAAAAGCAGCAACATTGTGTATCTGGAGACCAAAGGCATCAGTTAGGTTTCCATCAGAGCTGCTCGGAGAGGATATTCTCTGTCGCTTGGATGACAAGTTTGCAGGGAGCTCACACTGTTGACATTCACCAAGACTTTCCTTTTTGGCTAGGTACACAAAACAAAATAAAAACAAAACAACACAGGCCTTCAATATTTTATTTTACAGCATCATTTGAAAATTGTGTACATCCTAAGTTTAGTAAAATTTAATGCTTGAGCCTAAATACTTTATCAATGAAAACTCTAGTAGTACATTTTTTATTCCAAAAGGGAAATCTAACTGAAAAGTAAAAGAACATGACTGCTAAAAATTTAATTATTAGAATTGACTTTTTTCAGACTTTAAAATGTACAAAGATACTCCAAGATACATTTGCAATTTTGATATAGTATCTCATTCTATTTTTAAGTTTAGAATGAAACCTTTTCTTTTGAACATTTTAAAGGATGTGGTTATGTTCTAATATTGGTTCTGCTTTGACCATGTACGATTTTATGAAAAATACAGCCACAGTTCTTCCTAGGTACAAAAAGGGAATTTAATTGTCTACAGAACTTTAGTAATGATGTAAATAAAATACTTAAAAGCTCAGATAAAAACTAAAAAATAGGTAAGTTACAAATTACAAATACAAATGAGTACATCAGAGCAGGTCATGTACTGCAGAGGTAGATGAACTGGATTTGTCTTGAGTAACAATGCCCTGCACCCAAGGAGGTGTTGAAATGTACTTGAAGATAGTTCAAGAAAGCAAACAAAACCATTTGGAACCTTAGGGTTATGGTGGTTACAGCAAGACCAAGATTTTGTCTAGTTCTGGTGTTTGAAATGCTTTGCAATTGGAAAAATCAAAAGTGACAAAGAATTACCAAATAAATTACAATCTAAAAGTTATGGTAAAGAATATGGCAGGCTATTAAGATGTCACGCTGAACATATCTGTTTATAATATCAGAGTTGGGAGTTTGGTATTCATTTAAATGCTTGCCAAACTTAATAATAATCCTCTAAAAAAATCAAGGTTTGTGCACTCAAATCTACCATGTGCCCTATTCTAAAGATGAAATGAGCCCACTGGCTTCGACATTCTAACACTTAGCACTTAATTGTGGCCATGTGGATATGTAAGACGTAGGCTCAGGAGTGCTTGATATTATATTTTTTCAAGAGAAACCAGAAATCCAGATTTTTGTGTGAAATGTCCCAAATTTTAAATGGTAGGCCCTATTGAAAAATACAGCTCTACTCAGAAAAGACTGTAGAACTAAATCTTTATACTGAGCATGGTCTGAATAAATACTAAAGCCCTTCTTTCTACTCACTTGAGCCTGTGATCTTGAACTCTCCTTCCGTCTCTGAGAATTCAGGACAGTCAGCCATTTTCTCGTTTTCCTTTATGGAGTGAAAAGCTGACTGGAAGGCAGATATTTGTTCTCTTAAAGAATGAACATTTCGATACAAAACAGGGCTGCCCTGTTAAAATACAGAAGCACAGAGGACATTATAAATCAAACCAAAGATAGGCTTTTCGAAGAGCAGAGGTAATAAGTTAATACAGCAGAGCCTCTCCTCCCGTGAACCACACAGTCTTAGTCTGAATATTCGGTGTACAGCCATCATCTTTGTTTCTCCTCTCTCCTCCTTAATCTGAGCAAAGAGCAATAGCTACATGGGAAGTATAAATGTGGAGCTACAGGCTGGCCAGTACTGATACTGACAAGCCCATGGACCAGACAGGAGAAATCTGGAGGAGATGGAAAGCACTTTAAAAAGGCACCCAGACAAAACACATCCCAATTATTTGAGGGCTTGACAATCTTTAAAAGGATTCTTTCTGGGGGTGGGGGGAGGGGTGGTTAAGGACGCTCTTTTATAACTGAGAGTCCATAACCTGAGATAGCCTCAGCAAATCAAATGTGAAAGGGAAACAGGTTCCACACAAAACGTTTGAGAGGCCAGTTTAAGAGACTATATGGATGTTGAGCTGTACGAGTTGTTTTCATATGTTGGATATTAATCCCTTAAAAAATGGGCAGAAGAACTGAACAGACATTTTTCCAAAGAAGAAATGCAGATGGCCAGTAGGCACATGAAAAGATGCTCAACGTCGCTAATCATCAGGGAAATGCAAATCAAAACCACAATGAGATATCACCTCACAACTGTCAGGATGCTATCACCAAAAAGACCACAAATAGGGACTTCCCTGGTGGTCCAGTGGTTAAGACCCTGGACTTCCAATACAGGCGGTGCGGGTTCAATCTCTGATCTGGGAACTAAGATCCTGCATGCCATGTGGCATGGCCAAAAAAAAAAAGATCACAGGGCTTCCCTGGTGGCGCAGTGGTTGAGAGTCCATGCAGGGGACACGGGTTCGTGCCCCGGTCCAGGAAGATCCCACATGCCGTGGAGCGGCTGGGCCCGTGAGCCATGGCTGCTGAGCCTGCGCGTCCGGAGCCTGTGCTCCACAGCGGGAGAGGCCACAACAGCGAGAGGCCCGCGTACCACAAAAAAAAAGAAAAAAAAAGACCACAAATAACAAACATCGGCGAGGATGTGGAGAAAAGGGAACCCTCGTACACTGTTGACGGGAATGTGAATTGATGCAGCCGCTGTGGAGAACAGTATGGAGGTTTCTCAAAAAACTAAAAATAGAACTACCATATGACCCAGCAATTCTACTCCTGGATATACACCTGAAAAAAACAAAAACACTAATTCGAAAAGATACATGCACCCCCAATGTTCATAGCAGCACTATTTATAATTGCCAAGATATGGAAGCAACCTAAGTGCCCATCAACAGATAAAGAAGATGTGGTATATGTATACAATGGAATACTACTCAGCCATAAAAAAGAATGACATTTTGCCATTTGCAGCAACAAAGATGGACTTGGAGGGCATTATGCTAAGTGAAATAAGTCAGACAGAGAAAGACAAATACTGTATAATATCACTTATATGTGGAATCTAAAAAACACAATAAACTAGTGAATGTCTAACACAAAAGAAACAGACTCACAGATACAGAGAACAAACTAGCTGTTACGGGGCTGGGGTGGGGCAATATAGGGGTGGGGGAATAGGAGGTACAAACTATTGGATGTAAGACACGTTACAAGGATGTATTGAACAAAACAGGGAATATAGCCAATATTTTGTAATAATTAAATGAAGTGTAACCTTTAAAAATTGTATACAAAATAAAAATTAAAATCAGTAGTAAGAATTTTATGTCTGTACAGTTAGCAAAGAGTTTACCCAATAAGAACAACAAAAGAAAAAAAGAGAGAGAGAGAGACAGACTATACGGAGATCACAAGAAAGCATCAAATCCTGGAGACAGGGCTAAGGAAGAAGGGATAGGAAGAACTTGTCTATTTGGAAATTTTACCAAAGTTTTCCAAAAATATCCTTAGAAAATGATCTGCATGACACCTTTGTCACATGTAGGTCTCAGCATAACTAGTTCCATCCAACCTAGTCTCTATTCATTTCCATCCAGACACACCCTCTCCCCAGGGGCCAGAGCAATATACAGATGTTCTGAAGTAGCTTAGACACCCACCCACATATACCCTCTCCCCTCTGGCACCCCCCAGCTAAATCTTCCTGATGTCATGGGAGCTTACTTCCTTAGAGCTAAAAGCTAGCCATTCACTGAAACTACAAAGCCAAATACTTAAAAAATGGTCTAAGCACAGGAGCTCTCTGGAAACTCTGCTAACAGGATTTCAACCAAAGAGTGGTCAAATTAAATTGGTATTAGCAGGGATAGAAGTGCCAGACAAGTGTAAGCAATATACAATTTAATAGTTCTGCTACCTGTAAAATAAATTACTGGTTAGGTTCTCTAGGGTTTTTTTTTCCCCCTTTATTATTTAGACTAACATATTTCCACTGATTTGGAGCTTATACCAATTTAAAAAATTATGCTAACAGGCGAAAGTAAAGTAAAAAAATTACCTCCCTTTAAGATATCATATGGAGAAAAATCAGTTAAAATCTTGAAGCCGTGTTTGATGGTGAATCTGCTCACACACTGGATTCTATTCCCAGTTAAATACCTTCATAAAGCAAACTCTGTTGCATAATAACACAACATTTAAAACTCAAATATGGTTGATGATGTAAACCTTTACGACATAAACCGCACATAACATTTATAAAAAGCTGGTGGTCAACTCTTACCTAACTGAGATATAGAGAAAGAAAGGGTTTATCCCAAAGTCATACAATTTACGTTGAATGTATATTTTTTGTACTTATATTTGAACATGGGAGGGTTAGGTTTAATGTGCTAGGAGTTTGGAGCATTTTGAAATACTGCTTTAAACAAATTAAAGGTTCCCCAGTCAAAATTGTTTCTGGGCTTCCCTGGTGGTGCAGTGGTTGAGAATCTGCCTGCTAATGCAGGGGACACAGGTTTGAGCCCTGGTCTGGGAGGATCCCACATGCCACGGAGCAACTAGGCCCGTGAGACACAACTACTGAGCCTACGCGTCTGGAGCCTGTGCTCCTCAACAAGAGAGGCCCGCGCACCACGATGAAGAGTGGCCCCGGCTCGCCGCAACTAGAGAAAAAGCCCTCGCACAGAAACAAAGACCCAACACAGCCAAAAATAAATAAATAAATAAATTTATTTTAAAAATTGTTGTTTCTCTGTTTCCTGACGGAGAAAGAGAACAACGTTCATATACAAAAAGTAAAGGAAGCATTCAAAAACGGACTGCATTTTTGATGCTTTTGTCTTAGGAATTATATCGGTCAGTCAACATTCTTCCCACGTACCAGAAACTATTCAAGGGGCTCAGGATACAGGGGGAAATTACATTCTAGAGTGAAACTCTGAAAACATATTAATATAGTTTCAGGTACAAGAGAAGGTACTGCCACTGAGAAGGTAAAAAAGGAGTGTGGCAAAAAAAAAAAAAAAGGGGGGGTGATCCCGCGCACTGCAAAAAAAAGGAGTGTGATTTAGTAATAACAGTGCTGCTTTACTTGAGTCAGGACAGCGCTCTGTCTGGAGTAACATCTGAGCTGGAACTGAAACAGAAAGTGGTAGTTAAGGGAAGATACTGGGGGAGGAAGGCATTCTGCAAGAACAAGCCGGAACAAGAGCAAAGGCCCTGAGATGGAAGGAGGATGCAGCAGGAAGAAGGCCCGCGTCCCCAGAAAACAGCAGGAGATGGCGAGCTGAGAATAGGGATAGGCAGGGCTCAGATCGGGGAGGGCACTCAAGGCTTCAAGATGGGGTTTGAGTTTAATTCATGGCATAACAGGGGGCCACGGGAAGGTTTTAAGAGGCAGAGTGAATGATCTGATTCATTCTTTAAAAGTGTCTCTTTGACTGCTCTGTGGGATGGTGGACGGACCAGGGAAGGAGGGAAATAAGGAGACCAGTTATGAAGAAGCAGCTGGTGATTCAGGTAGAAATCACATTAGGGTTGTAGCAATGGAGCTGGGAGACATGAGGAATTACAGATAGGTTTCTGAAATGAAGCCAAAAGGTAATAATGGGTTGGATGTGGGAGATGAAAAGGAAAAAAAAAAAAGGAAGGAACCGAGGAAGATTTGGTAGGTTGTTGGCCTGAGCAACTGGACGGCAGCGTGTACTGAGATGAGGAAGTGGACCGGAGGATCTCGTGGGGGATGGAAACCTGGAGTTTGGCTGTGGCCGTGTAACACTCGAAATGCTTACTGGAACACCCAAAGGCAGATGGTGAATAGGCAACTGGGTATCTAAGTCTGGAGCTCTACAGAACTCTGGGCCACTGTTAGACATTTGAGTCATCAGCCTATAGGTGATGTTCAAAGCCATAGCAAAGGATTAGTTTACCTAAGGAAAGCAAAGAAAAGGGGGCAGAGGAGAGCCCTGGGGAGCTCAAGCATTTGTGAGGGGAAAACTGGAAGGCCTGGAATAAGCAAATGAAACACAGGAACGGATGACAGTGACACAGGAAGAAAATCAGGTCAGTGTGGTATCCCAGAAACAAGGCAAAGAAAGCGCTTCAAGGAGGGAGTAGCTAAACTCAGTCAAAAGCTGAGGCAAGGTTGCGTAGGATGCAAACTTAGACTTAATCTTTGTCTTGGCCAAGATGCGGGCCATTTGTGATCAATGGTGACAAGAGTCTTCTCAATGGAGTGGTAGAAACAAAAGTCCGATTGGAGTGGCTACAGCGGAGAGAATGGAGGGAAGGAAGTGGAGCAAGACAGGACAGATGGCTGTTCAAGGAGCTCTGCTGTGATGGACAGGCATAGGAATGGGATGCCATGGGGGTCTAGGAAGAGTTAAAGGGACAGAGTAAGACAAATGCATAAGGAAAAACAGGTCAGAATAACATACATGGTCATAATGATGTAAACATTCGAATACTGATGTAACCAATCTATTGGGAAGTTATAGAGGATGGGAAGTGCATACATACATTTACGATAAAAGGTATGAGGAAGAAAGAGGGCTAACTTTC